CTGTAAAATATGCATGTGCTAAACAAATAAAACAGTAGAATGAAAAAAACCTTTTTGTTGACATATCTGTTCACACGAGGAATGCTCGTTGGGATGGTGAAAAAGAATGAAGCTGCGTAACAAATCATCGGAATCGTTGCCACAAAAGTCTGCAAAAGAAGATGCATCACTGAAAAGGATCTTTTTGTTAGGACAAGGAGGGGGGTGGGAAAGAGAAGTGGGAGGAAAGGGGCTGGCTGGGATAAAAAATGGAGTTTTGGAAGTAAACAATTAATTAAAACTGAAAAGGAGAGGAAGAAGAAGAAGAAGAGAAGGAAAAGTTAAACAGCGTTGACTGTACCTTGGAAAAATTCTGTCCAAATGTAACATAGAACGGAAAATACACCTGCGATACGTTCATGTACAGTCGAGAAAGTGTATATAATGCAGAAATCTAAATCATTTTCCTGCGTGTAGCTGCTGTTTGTAAAGAAGATTAATAAAAATCAAAAGTGAATTTCGTCTTAGATATCTTTTTTATATATTAGTGAAATATTTTGTAACTGATAGATTAGTTGCTGATGATTACCTGATAAAACTGTGGCTCACAAAGCCAATTTGAAAATGACATTTGCTTAACAGCCGGTTCACTAGAGTCGTTTAGGAGCTTTATTTGATAACCTTTTGGTTCCTTCGTAAGTGCATAGAAGATTAAAGTCGCGACAACACCAGAAGCGATAACTATGTACGCAGCATTCTGAAATTTGCATCATCTGGTACTCTGTCATGTTTGTAACGGTTTATCTGTTGAATTTTCTTTAAAACTGACGAAAGGTTGAAGCAACTATTCTGTCGCTAATGAGTGTTTGAAAGGAGAAATGTTATTTAAATTTTTTTAGAAGTATACCGTGTTTATCCAATAATTTAAATTGTTTAGTGATAAGCTTTAATTCTAACACTGAAATGTTTCAAATCTTCTGGACGAACTCCACTTTTAGCTTCATCGCTTTGAAGAAATGCTGCTAAAATACCATAGACTGCCAAATTTGCTAGCACTGTCGATGCATACCTGTAATTCATCTGACTATTTTAGTCGACAATTCAATTTCGCGTTGCTGAACCTTGTTTTGGTAATTAATTTTAGCTTAAACTTTTACTAACTTTGTGTTACTATACATATACCGACATCTATATATATATATATAT